GATGTTGAAACAAAATGGCTATTTTTGTAGTGATTTTATAACATATTTATGTTATAATTTTTTAAATAAATAATTATATCTGCTCTACTCTGTATTGAGCACTCTTTTAAGAATAGTAATTGTTGGTTATTGGAATTTATTCCGTATACACCAATCATAAACTAGTATATATATATATATATATATATATATATATATATATATATATATATATATCAGGTCATCCCATAAGTCCTGTCCGAATTTTGAATGAAGAAAACAAGTGACCAAATGTTACATTTAATTACAGATTCAATCAACAATGTATTTTCCCTGATTAACTATGACTTCCTTCCATCTATTAACAAGCTTACTAATTCCATTACTGTAAAATTCTTTTGGCTTTGATTAAAAGAACTCACAAATGTCAGTTTTAACCTCTTCCTGTGTTCGAAAAGCTGTTTCATCCAAATGATTCTGTAAGCTACGAAACAAATGATAGTCTGAAGGAGCAAGATCAGGAGAAAAAGGTGGATGAGAAATTTTCTCCCAATCAAGTTCTTCGATCTTTTGTGACGTGATTCTTGCTGTGACGTCGCGCATTGTCCTGATGAAACATCACCCTTTTCGATTCACTAGAGCAGGTCTTTTTTCCTCAAATCTTGGTTCAAACGGCTCTAATTCCTGAAGTATATTTGAGCATTAATTGTTGCATTAGGTGGTAAGAATTCAAAAGTGGATTATTCCTTGGCGATCCCACCAGATTGAAATAAGAACCTTTTGCCCATGAAGTTCCCTTCTCGGCTGTGGCTGGGGTCCTTCCCTTTACAACCCACTTACTACGACATTAACATTTCGATAAAAGATCCATTTTCGTCGCCAGTCACAAGTCTATCCAAAAAAGATGAAACAAGTTGGCGAGAATGGAGAGAAGAGCAGATGTCAACTCAGGATTTGAGGTTGTTTTCAGACAATTCATGAGGCACCTATTTTCCAAGTTTCGGAACTTTTCCAAGTTGTTGAAGATGACGATGAAGAGTTGTATGGTTTGAACTGAGAACCACTGCCAATTCCTCAACTGATAAAGCAGGATTTTCTTCAAGGGCTTCTTCAAGAAGCTTTTCATCAAACTTAACTGGACGTCCGGTTCGATCTTCATCTTCAAGGGTGAAATCTTCACCTCTGAATTTCGCAAATCTTCTTCTGCAAGTTCTTTCATTCACACATTCCTCTCCATAAACTGAGTGAATGTTTCTAGCCGCTTCGGCTGCTGAGTTTCCTTTCTTTCAACTCATAAAGCATGATGTGCTTCAAATGATTCTTGGGGACTTCCATGTTAGCAGGGTTTTAATCAAACAAAATTTTATTTTATTTTTCTCTCAAATAAAATTTGATCAGTTTAAATGTATCTAAATATAAAAATAATGGTCAGCTCTGTTAGACATAAAATACTCTTTAAATTTCATTCATTTTTTTAAAAAAGTTAAAATTCGGACTGAACTTATGGAATGACCTGATATATATATATATATATATATATATATATATATATATATATATATATATATATATATGTGTGTGTGTGTGTGTGTGTGTGTGTGTGTTGTATGTGTAGGTATGTGTGTGTGTGTATATCACATTTTGTTTATGTTGAAAATTAGCTAATATCATTATCAATATTATTTATATATCTATTTTATGTTAAATGCTACAATGACTACTACAAGTATTGAATCTCTGGCAATACTGAGAAATGATTTTAAACCGGACTTCCGATCCGCTGAATCGTCTCTCAGTATCTGGGAACTGTCAAGCTATTTTAATCCTACTGCTTTAATTTTTTTTAAGTGAGGTCACATGTTCCAATAGATGTACTGGATAAGCTGTGTGTCCGCTTGTAAATATGATCATGATAATCAACATCATCTTCCTCCTCATCCACATCTTCATCACCAATCTCTTTCCATCTTCGGGGTTACCCGAGGGCAGAAGAATCATACTCTGATTCTTCCTCCTCCTGACTCTTTCATTGAGATTTCAGATAGCTTGGCAGCACCCATCTTCTCTCCAATACATTATTATGTATTAGAGCATAAGTGAATGTAATGAACACGACTGGAATTCGACCTCGAATTTCCGATCCTCCAATGCGTTACTCTATCTATTACTCCAATCTTCCTGAATTGCACAGAAAATAAACGAACTTTAAATTTCCGGCGTTGGTGACAAACTCCAGTTCTACAAATTTTGCCGAAGGCGTAGGCTCTCCCAGAATGGCACAATGCTAGTGAGAACGCTGATCACGCGAACTGAGTATGTGGAATTCTGAGAGTGATAACTTGACATTTTTTTATATTTTTAAATAATACCAAGAAGGAATTAGAATGTTCAACATGTCTCCCGCATCCATATTTCTTATCAAGCCAGCACGCAGCGATAAAATTCTAACCAATCAGTTGGCAACCGCTTGGGAGTTGGCATCGAGCATCTCGATTCGGAAGCAACGAGCAGACTCTTGTCTGTTTTAATCCGATCTGTACTCGCGCTAAAAATTGTGAAGGTTTCATATTTGAGGAATTAAGAAAAAGATATTTTCTGAACTGATTTATTTTCTACTGATTCATAAAAATTGTATTTAAAGATATGTTTGGTGGTACAAAATTTTATCACTGCCATGAACAGACAAAAATAGTTTTATTATTACCACTCATGATAATGAAAATTCAAAAATAAAAAAAAATAAAAAACAGGATAGCTCACCGGTTCCGTACCTCGCTCAAAAGAGCTAATCGAGGTAAATAGAGTAAATTATATAAGAAAAGTTTATTGGTGAAAGGTTTATTGGGTGCTGTTAGTTTTAGTGGTGACGCTTTTACCATCCTTAGTAAGTCCCAGTCAAATTACCTCCTAAAAAGGTTGGATACCATCTATATTCTATCATTAAATCCTCCTCTTTGTAAACAGAAGGATTTTATATTAGGCCTCCAAGTAATTACCATTTACAAAAAAAAAAAAAAAAAAAAACTCCCCCTAATAAACTTTGTCCATTGTTCTTTTTAATTATATAATTTACTCTATATACCTCGATTTCGCGCTGTTGAGCGAGGTACGAAACCGTTTAGCAAGCCCGTTTTACTTTTTATTTTTTTTTACTTTTTATTTTTTTTTTACTTTTTATTATCATGAGTGGTAATAATAAAACTAATTTTTGTCTGTTCATGGCTGTAATAAAACTGTATTTATATAATTTTTTCTGTTTTCTTTTTTATATTAATATTTTCAAGAAAAATATTTAAATTATCCCCAACCGGTAGAAATGTTTTTAATGACCGTTTTCCTGACGCCTGTGATATACTAAAAAGCATTTGTTAAATGAGGATGCGTATATTTCTATCTTTATTGATTGACGCATCTGTATAGCACTTGCTTAGCCACCTTGATGACACCTGCTTCTTTCATTGCATAATTTGATAGTGGTTATGCATTTAAATATTACGAACGAAGCTAACGCCTCTTTTCTGGCGCCAAATTTGTTCGGCACTATCAGCTGAGTAGAAACTCTTTCCCATGTCAGCGGTTAAAGTTGGCTTCGAGCAAATGAAGCAAGTAGGTCTCTGCAAGGGACATCTTTCATTGAACCTCCAATACTGGCGTGACAAAATCACAAATAACTGTTCAAAGTAATACAAACTATAATATTGTTGTAATATTAAGCGCAACAACAACTAAAAATGATGTATAATGATATAATAAAGAAATAATGATATAATCAAAAATTTGACATGCCACACTACTGCAAACATAAGGTGAGAAAGAACAATAACAGTTACTGGACTTGACAAACTTATGTCCTCACTAGAAAAATAAGCTCAGACGGTGGAAGTGGGTTTTTATTTTTTCATGTCACGATAAACCGGGACATAATCATTTGTCGCTGTCATATTTTTTGCAATCATCACTGATGGCATGTCTATGTCCTGCTTTATGGTGACATGAAAAAAATAACTCACCCACTCCACCCTCTGAGCTTACTTTTCTATTTAGTGTAGATCTGATATTTAATTGGTTAAACAAGACATACCCACAAGTATGTTTTTTTTACTCTGAGTTTATGTCCTACTCTTTAACTATAGGAATAGAGACAAGTGTTTGTTTTTAAAATTTCGTTAATATTATTTAATCACCATTTACTTAACATCGCCTGAAGAAGTAACTCATAGTTTTGAAACATGAAAGCTTTTGTGTAGCGATTGCAAAATATTTTTAATATAATCTTTTATAATAAAAATATAATAACATATTGTTCTACTTTCTATTGAGCACTTTTTAAAAAGTAAATTCTACGAACAGTTTTTTTATTCCATCGGCTCATCATCTTATTGTATATATATATATATATATATATATATATATATATGTGTGTGTGTGTGTGTGTGTGTGTGTGTGTGTGTGTGTGTGTGTGTGTGTGTGCGTTGTGTGTGTGTGTGTGCGACCGCGTGTGTGTGTGTGTGTGTGTGTGTGCGCCCGTGTGTGTGTGTGTGTGTGTGTGCGTGTGTGCGTAAAAGCAATCAACAGACTAAACAATAAAACAAATCAATTGAAAACCTTATATTTATTTTCCCTGAACTTACTTATGCTCATATCTTACTGATAATCTTGAGAAATTCATGAACTTTATTTTCTTTAAATGTGTTTTTTTTTAAATACATCATGAGATACAGTTATGAAAAAATGATTAACAGATAAGTTAAGTGGGTGTTTTTGCAAAATTCAATCTTCAACGATGTATTGATTTTTTTTACGGCTTATCAATCTTTTTGTGGTTATTTAAACCTGATGCATATTTTTGGATTGCAAGAATTTTTGAGAGATAATAATAATTTACTAATACACATCTTACATTTTAACCCATAGTTAGGAGGAGCATATCTGTATCTAGACCTTCCTTAAGTGTATGTGCACGTAATTCTATACAACGGAACAGACTGTAGTTCGAACTCGGCTTTCGAAATTCTTATTCCGAGCTTTTACTGATTACATCACTGCCACCCAATCTTACAGCATTTGGGATTGCAAAAACCTATACTTAATGAAACAATATATAATCTTAACAATTAGCAAGAAGAATATATAATTGAAGGGCGAGAAACAAATATTCTGTATATTTCCCCCACCCATAATAATTATGCAGAAATATTGAGATTTCATATCTTAATGTTCGTGTTAACTAAATAGCCTTTTTGGAAGACCTTTTGGAAGATCAACATAAGACAGTCTTCCTAACCAATCATTCGCAGAATTTGCTAATCTAGAAGAACAACATGAACTTCCGATCTGATCCTCTGCCGATATTGTTCGATAATTTTTACCGTCTTCATACATCAGACGATGGCGAAATGATTGTAATCGCGTGAGGAAATCCCAGCATCTTCCTTCATTTAGCTTCTTGTGGAGTTGAACTTTCAATGCTGTAAGGCTGGGTTGTTTGTTACCTTTTTTACAACAATTCACAAGTCGATAAGAACACTAACTCTAAAGGGGCCACTATTTAGAATGAACTGAAAATTCAATAGTACACAGGAAACAAGAGATAAACCTCTACTCCTGTCCAAAATACCGTGGAGGAGTCAATAGGTGAAGCGTATCTATATGCTTCTATTGAAGAAGACAATAAATAAAATAAATAAAGACTATTAATTTCAGAGTAATTTAATTTAACAAAAAAAAACTATGAATTTGTTGCTTCATCTAGGAGGGAACACTGGCCGCTGGCCGGGAGTGTAAATAAGATACGCACACACACACACACACACACACACACACACACACACACACACACACACACACACACACACACACAGATGCGCATATCCCTAACTAATGTACGCAGTGATTCCCGGTGGCTTCATCTACGAAACTCTAGACACGTAATGATGAAATTTACATCCATCATCTAAGGGACAAACCTTTTACTTATATTAACTTGTGTAGACAAGTGTTTTCTTTACTGGACACAAAGTGTGAAAGAACTGTTCAAAATTTATGCATATATCAGAGCGCTTTCAGTTATTATTTTAGCCATTATTAAGGAATAAATTTCATGTTTTCATTATTAACTGAATATGTAGGGTTTTTATGTATGTCCTTGAAGTTATAGATTTTTTTTTTAATTTTCCAAACACGGTCAGCACATTGTGACCGTGTTCGTAGTTAATGTAGTTCAACACCCACATACTGCAACTATGCTCAATAGACCTTAGTTAAATTTTCTAGGAAAAACATATTATCTAGCGTGAACAACAAAAACAAAGCTATCACTTTCAAGACCTCGGCCCATATGACTTGTGACTTCGTGCTATCACAGCTATCGACGTCTACTCAATTTTACTCACAGGGCTTTGGTCAATCCGTGTTATGGCTTTCAGGCACTTTCCAAAGGTGCCACATTCGGGGATCGAACCCGTCCAGTCCGATAACATCGGGAAGTCTCCTTCCTGACAAATTGAGTGAGATTCGAACCGGGGTCTCATGGCCAAAATACGAACATTCTAACCACATGACCACGTGCTCATATTTCTGTACGAGAATAATTACTAAACGGGTTACAGTTTTAACATTTTAGCTGCTATGAATAACAGAAAAAACCTCAAAGGAGAATGTCATTTTCAAGCAATAATCTGTACTGACGTGGAAAAATCGTTTGTTATTTAATTATTTATATAATAATTTTCATTCAATACCCAAAAGCCAGGCAAGAATGTTGTTGTTGTAAGGGTGCATATGTTGAGGGCAAAAAGTGCAATTATGACGCTATGTTCAGTGCAAACGATTGACCTTAGATTTAAAGAGGGTAAGTTCGTAGTGATCAGGGAAGCATCATTTCGTGAGGCTGTTCTACAAAGTTAGATATATTGAGAATAATATGTCTGATAGGAATATCTATCTTTCAACTGGGATACGGCATATGAATGAGTCGACCCTATGTAACTGACATGGCTGTTCTTAGTACTGACGGACTGTACTGATGGAATTAAGGAATCTAACATGAAAATAAACACAGAGCAGCAAGGGCCCGCATCCATCACCCACAATGACGTAAAAGCTTTAGAACTGTTTCAAGTTTGGAAGGGAAGGATTAGGCAGATTCAAACCAGAAATGGCAGCAATACTCCTTATGCAATCTTATATACCTCTTAAATATGTCAGGAGTTATGTAATTTATGGAGCGTTAAAATAAATGACAAGTTTACATCTTTAGGAATAGATCGTGCATATGAGTTTTAATAAAATTCGAAGTGAAATTTAGTCACATTATACATTTAAAGTAACGAGAGTCATTGAAAATACAGCCGTTTATCGTGGCTAAAGAAAACTATCGCTTGCTTTAGGTATTTTAAAAGCCTTCACGTTTCCTATTCATCTGTGAGATCTTGGTCAAATGTTAAATCAGTTGACAGTATCTGCTTATATACATTTCGTAGGTACATTAAGAAATATATATATATATATATATATATATAT